GATCTTTGTGAGTTCGAGGCCAGCCTGGGCTACCAAGTGAGTTCCAGGAAAGGCGCAAAGCTACACAGAGAAATCCTGTCTCGAAAAAACAAAAAACAAAAAACAAACAAACAAAAAAAAATGCATCCAAAACAAAAGCTTTAAAGAATAAATGCTTATAGATGAAGAGATGGCTCAGCTGTAAAGAGCACTGGCTGCTCTTACAAAGGATCCAGGTTCAGTTCCCAGCACCCACATGGTTACTCGGCTCTTGTCTGGTCTCCTCAGGCATAGCATGAATGTGGTACACAGACATACCTGTAGGCAAAACATCCATACACATAATAAAAATAAAGAATTTTTTTTTAATTAAGGGCTTTAAATTTTAAAGCTATGTTATTTTACAGAAGTATAACTTCACTGGTATGATGGAAATTTTTATTATACTTTTAGGCCCTGGTGGACTTAAATGAGTTAGAGATATTTTCATTCAACTTTTGACTCTTTGGACTTCTCAGAAAAGTAATTAATTTGCCTTGTGGTATATTTTTATGTACGTGGAATGTGTATTTGTGTTTGCATGTTTCTGGGCTATTCTGATCCTACAGACAGTGTGTATAGGCCAGAGATTAATGTCGACTATCTTCTTCCTCAATTGTTCTCCAAAATAGTATATTGAGCTGCAGTCTCCCCTGGAGCCAAGAGCTCAACAGTTTGGCTAGTCGTAGCTAGCTAGTTTGTTCTGTAGACCCTGTCTCGACCTCATGCTGGGATTGCAGTTGGGCCACCACACCTACCTGCATTTCCATGGCTGCTGGGGACCCCAGTGGTCCTCATGCAGCAAGTGTTATCCACTGATTCGCCCTGCAGCCTGCCTTACAGACTTGTAAATCCTGGTAGAAGATACACGGTTAAGTATATGAACTGTAAAGATCAGAACTGACTCAGGTCAAGGTGGATGCTGTGAAACACAGATGTGAACCTGAGTTTTATAAAGTTTGCACTGTGTCATCCAGACCTGTATTTCAATTTTGACCTTTCTCCTACCTCAATACCTAAGTTTCTCTAAAAAGCTGGAATTACTAGGTTGGAAGACTGATGTTGTTTTTACATACATCTTGGGTATATTTTAAGTGCAGGTTTTTGTTTGTTTGTTTTTTGTTTTTCAAGACAGTGTTTCTCTGTAGTTTTGGTGCCTGTCCTGGATCTCACTCTGTAGCCCAGGCTGGCCTCAAACTCCCAGAGATCCACCTGGCTCTGCCTCCTGAGTGCTGGGATTAAAGGCGTGCACCACTGCCACCTGACACGGGTTTTCTTTTTTGTACTGAAATATTATTTATAAATATACCTAACTTGGGTTTTTTTTTTTTTTTTTTTTTTTTGCATTGTGGTAGACAATAGGTTTAATTACTGTGAGTTCTGTATTAGCTTTCTTACTGTTTTTTGCAGCTTTCCTAAAACTGACAGTGATCAATCCATGACTTCCAATCTTTAAAGTCCAAAGTGTCTGCGTTGTGTTCAGGGTGCCTGTGCCTTTTATTGTAGGGTTTGTTTTTTTTTTTTTTGGGGGGGGGTCGTTTGTTTTTTGTTTGTTTGCTTGCTTGCTTTTTTGTTTTTTGAATAATGGATGCAAATATAATAGTGAATGGATGTGATGGGCACTAAAGAGGAGGGGTTGCTGATGAGGGAGGCTGTTATAAGGTGGGGGAAGCTGGGAAGGACACGTGGGA